GGGGGGGCGGCGGGGAATGTGCTGCCCCTAACACCCATTCACACGGCACAACCGCGTCCCTGGATGCCTCAGCCTGAGCTCACCACTTCCAACCCTCCTGGAAGGTCTGATGTTCTGATTTCTTGTGTGAAGCGAGCGGGTCTAACCTGGGAAAGACGTGTCTGTGCCCAGGATGTCGGGGTGAGCGCACAGCGCTGATCCGTACTGTAGATCTGTAACGAACATCGCAGTGCGGAAACAGTGGCAACCACAGGGCGCGTGGGCGTGCAGCAAGGACCCCAGCTAGATGATAAAGCCAGGCACAGCACAAATGAACTCTGGATGATCAGAGAGTGAGCCAAACTATAGGTCCCCACCCCTAGAAACCTCAGCATTTTCTACAACATACCTCCCTGGTATCAGATTATTTTCCCCTCTCGGGACAGGTAAATTCATGATGTGTTTTTAAACTTTGTTCCTTAAATCCTGTGGCATTACTGCCACAAGGGAAGATAAAGCTCAAGGCAGGGAACCCCGGTCCCAGTTTTGAAACTTGCTCTCTGCTGGGGAGAAAGGGAACTTGATGGAAAGAGCTGGGAATTGCAGACCGGTCTTTGGTACCTGGGTTCCTGCGAGACACAAAGCAGTGACGGGCGAGCGGAATAGGACACTGAGCTCACGAGTACTGAACCCGAGCTTCAGCGCCCTGCTGCGTACAAGCACCAGCTGCTCCCCTGACCCCCGCCAGGGTTCTGGCGCTCAGTCCGTTGGGTGGAGCTCTGGGAGAGGCTTTCCACCTGGCGGTGCAGGTGAATTGATAAACTCGGCAGCGCGGATGCTGTTTCCATGGCGCTGCCTCTTGAGTGGTGGGTGGTAGGGGACTCTACTCTCAGCTGCCAAGTGCGAGTGCAGAAATCCCTTCTGCTCCCAAGACCTGAGCTTTCTAACATAAACTTTCTGAAATCATGTTGAGTATGTGCGTCTTATTGCATTTTCCTGACCAGCGAGCTATCCACAGCTTTTACCAGTGTGGTAATGACTGAAGAGGGGTTAAGTCCTCACCACTCCCAGAGGCAGTCACTTGCCATGTCACTCTGTGGGTTCAGAACTCTGCCCCTGGCTGCCATGTGTGCCTGAAACCTTCAGTATCAACCTTCATTTCTCACTCTGCTCTGTGGCGATGCAAACCATGCACTGGGCACTGTGGCTTAGGAATTGGGTTCTACACCTAGAGGGTGCTAGGGTAGTCTCCTTCAGTTCACATTTTATCTTAAGGGTCTGTCTCTCAGAATCAGGAGGGAGTGAGATGGTCTCATTACTAAAATATATTCTGCGCTTTTAAGACACATTTGGCTTGGAGCACAGGTTAAAAAAAAATCCTTTCTTTGGCATATAACACTATGTCTGGCACACTTGTAAGCACTTAGTGTTTGCTGAATGAATGAAAATTCATATTGGAAAATTCACCACTTTCTTATTAGTAATCCCAGCCTGTGGAGTATTCAGACTTAGTTTGGAAGAGCAGAATAGTGTTTGGTTTCCTAAATTGTAGGCATGCCCATTGCAGTTAGTTTTCTACCATTTTATTTGGAACATAGAGTCATTTCATATAGAATTTTCCAGGAATATGAGTTACCATGATGTTTCTTCCTGAAGTTGATGTTCTATTACCTGAAACACAAAACCATTCTTCCTTCACCTCAAGAAAGCTGAATCTTTCTACCATTCCAGGTGCTTAGATTGTGTCAGCTATTTCTCTCAACTTCAAGACTAAACATAGTATGATCAAGTAAAAGTCACTAAGAAAGTACTGATTTAAAAAAAATCAACTCACCATTAGCATTTTAAGTTTTATTTTATAATTTTTAAATCTGGAAATCATGGCCAATTTAAATTCAAGATCAGTTTCAAATAAAGAGCTCATGTTAAACTTACTGTACCCAGTAATATATGCTTAGCATATTTATATGAAAGGAGTCAAGAATATTCACTATTATCTTCAAACTATAATAATATCTATCATAATCAAAACAGTATGGTATTGAAATAAAAACTGATAAAAAGATCAATTGAATTGAATTGAGAGCCCAGAATTAATTGCATGTTTATATTGACAATTTACAGCAGATGAACCAATAATATACATGACAAAAGAAAATCTCTTCAACAAATAGTTTTGGAAACTTGGATAGATATGTGAAAGAATGAAATAGAACATTATCTCACATGATGCACAAAATCAATCCCAAATTGATCAAGACTTATGGCTGTTCTCCTATGTTTCCGTGACTGAGTTGCCTCTCTTTTTCCTTTCTCCTGCCCTAATAAGCCTGTCCTTTTAGTGTGTTAAAAAAAAAAAAAGAAAGATCAGATTTAGATGGGAGATGAAAACATAAGATACAAAGAATAAAAGTTAGGTAAAACTTTCCTGCATTAGAGTAAAAAGCTTCTGTGCAGCAAATAAACTATCATTAAAATAAAAGACACCCTGCCAAATAGAAAACAAATTATATACATCTGACAGGGGTGATATACAAGATACAAAAAATAAACTGATACAAGTATGAAATGCAAGTAATCCAACCCCCCCAAAAAAAATTGGGTCGAGGAGCTAAGTAAACATTTCTCCAAAGAAGACATGCTATGGAGAAACTGGGCTATGAAGAAGAAATGGTCATCATCTTCATCATCAGAGAAATCTAAGTTGAAACCATGATGAGATACTACCTCAAACTTGCGATTCACAAGTTTGAGAATGGCCCACCTCAAAAAGACCAAAAACAATTAGTATTGGCAAGGATGTGGACAGAAAATAATCCTCATAAATTGTTGGTGGACATGGAGAGTGGTCCAGTCCCAGTATCTGGATGGATGTTTCC